TTTTTTATGTTATACTACGTATTGATTAGTTTGAGCGCTAACAAAAAAATTGATAATTTTAGGTGACAAAACGTTATCAAAGTTACTCATTAAAAAACATAGAACACGTTTTGCCTTTGGTATGTCGTTCTTTATTTCTCTATTAATATTTATCTAATAAGTATTTAAAATATAATCTCTTATTAAATTTTTAAATAATTTTCGTATGCTTATGTTATTATATTCTTGTTTTAAACGTATACTTATGCAGTTATGCTAGAAATTATTGGCCCCCGAAAAAAAGAGTTTCAAGATCCGCCACTGTATATCATTAAACAAATTATACTTATCCTTGTATGATATCCACTGTTGGCTATATGATATCATGGCTGGATGATATCCTCTATTGGCTATATGATATCATTTATGATTGTGTCTATATATGCTATTTTTTATTGGTCAGATGTTATCCTCTATTGGCTATATAATATCATGGTTGGATGATATCCTCTATTAGCTATATGATATCATTTATGATTGTGTCGATGATGATATCCTCTATTGGCTATATAATATCATTTATTATTCAGAAACTATATCATATAATCAATAGAGGATATCATCCAGCTAGTAGAAATATCATCCAGCCAATAAAGGATATCTTATAGCCAATAGAGGATATCATCTAGCCAATAGAGGATATCATCCAACCAATAGAAATATCATCCAGCCAATACAGAATATCACATATATAGCTAATAAAGGATATCATATAGTCAGTAGAGGATATCATCCAGCAAATGAAGGATATTATCCCGCCAACTGAAGATATCAAAAATCCGCATTTTGTCAGTTCGGATTGACGAAATGACGCAATACCTTCTCTTGTATTTTTTTTAGTTTTCAAAATACATCTTTGACCATTAATATTTCCATCTATATATGACTCAGGTGATACATCTATATAGTTTGGTTATTTTAAAGTGATTTTCTAAGTGTTGGTGCGCGCCCAATCAAGAGGCATTGCATAGTGTCATCAGGTGGAGCCTTGGAGCCCTTGACCAACCTATTTAGGGCATGTTCACATTTATTGAATTAAACTGAGCTGAACTGATTGGAGTTGAACTGAAATGAATATTTTATGAGAGAAGGAAATTAGGAGCTGAACTGAACTATTTGGAGTTGAGCTGAACTGAACTGAACTGAAATTAAGCTGAAGTGAACAGGCCCTTAGGTTGATTATTAAGCTTCTTCTTGGCTACTCTATAAATAGGGACCGGTTTATTTGATGTAATCGCAATTTTATTATTTCATACTTTCGTAAACTAGTTTATTTTTAAGCACTCGATTAGCACTTTGAATTCAAATTTATATCAATAACAATTTTAGAGGTAGTATATTGTAACACCCTAGAAATTCCTTTCTTTTAAAATACTTGTTTTGCCCTGTATAAAACTTTAAATAGGAATATCTAAGACGTTACCGCCACCGTGAAAACGACTGAGGCAACTATCAAAGACACACAGCGGAAGACTAATTTAAAAACCTTTCAAAACAAGTCAACTTGAAAAAGTCAAGCAACGAAAGTAAAGTCAAACCAAAGTCAAACGAAGTAAAATAAAATCAACCTACAACTTGGAACCATTATAGGCCCTTATTAAAACCAAACCGAATTCAAAGCCTTTCCGTTAGTCATGCATAATAATAATACCATAAATAATTAAAGCATTAAACACAATATATACTTATAGAAACTAGCATGATTCGTTCTTCACTCATGTCCATTCATGAATATGCTTCATCACATGAAAAGCTTCTATCTACTTGTTTCCACTACTCTCCATTAAAAATGGGTCATCATAGGGCTAAGATAAAGGCAAGGCCAACAAACACACAAAACACGCAATTAACAAAGCTTAGTACATAAGCGTAATTAACACACTAACATGCATTTACCTATCAACATACAACTTACCTTGTCGCATCTGTTTTTCAATCATACAACATCCAACAAAACTTCTCAACTAGACAACTACATAATTTATTTAGCATTGATTACGTATCGAACGGGTTTCCAACTCTACCTCCCTCAAATAAATTGAGTTTAACTGACATGGGAGCTAACCGTGCCAGCACAAAACCACACATAGGTGGCGGAATTCCAGCGCATAATAATAATAAAAAGGAATGTACAGCGTCCTGTACTCCATTAGAAATTATGGTTAAATATAAAACCCCGTAACTCCCCCCATATGTTCATACTCAAGGTATATACGTTCTAAGTGTTTTGGTGCGTAATCTCTTTCACTTTACATTATTTACAGATTATTAGACTTGGTGTTGACTTTCAAACCACAATCATTCAATCAACAACAAATATTCAATCAATCAAACATGCCAATTTAATTCTTGAATAATTAGTGACCACACAATATTTAATGTTGAACCCTTTTTTAATTCTACCACAGTGTCAAAGACACCTTCAACGCATAAAGCGCCACAAGACAACAAATCATCACTTGTGCAACGAATTATGCCATGGGAATTGCAAATTCGTGGTATAATTTCGATTAGCCACGGGAAAAAAAAATCTATGACACAAAACCTGAATAAGAAGAATAATTTATGCCACGGGTATTTATTTTCCCGTGGCAAATATCACACTTGTGCCACGAGTTGCACTTTTCCCGTGGCAAACTTTACATTTGTGCCACGAATAGATATCTTCCCGTGGCAAACTTTACATTATTGCTGCGAGTTGTTTTTTTTTTTCGTGGCAAATTTTACACTCGTGTTATAGGTAATAATTTTTTCTTCACAAGAATACAATATTTTTTGACACAAGCATACAATATTTATGCCATGATATTTGCTAAAAATATAAAAAAATTTGTAACTTGATCTACTCATGACATGGAAAGGAGGAAATCATATCATATTATAACTAGTTTCTATAAAACCATAATACAAATTAGAGGTCAAATAGATTTATATTTCTAATACAAACTTATATTTTCTTTATAAATAAGCTTGATTTATTTATTTTCGTGCAATAACGCAACAATTGTATATCACTAATCACTTGTAGAAATTTTTTAAAAGACTCCAAATAAATGCACTGGTTTATAAACTTCGGTCCCTATATTTAAAATAAAAAAAAATATTAATTATCATGATATAAAATGGGCAATAGTTTTTTTTAAAGAATTTTGCCTTTTAACATGACCTTTTTTTTTTTGAAAGATAACATGGATCTATTTCTAATACATGGTTAAATACTGTTTTTCAGCGTAATGGCAACAAGTGCATATGACTAATATAATTTTTTTAAAATTCACCTAAAGAATGCATTAGTTTTATAAAAACCTCAATTCCAATAATCTATATTATTAGCCATATCACCAGTCGCGTGATAAAGTCACTATAGAAAATTATATTTATTACTGGTACCAGTCAAACTTAAAAAAGGGAATTGAGCTTCAATCAATACCAATTAAATAATACATTTTCATAAAATTTCAATAGAGAAAATATACTGTAATGTTAGAAGATAAATATGAATGCCTATAATTATTTGATTTGATTTCACAATGTTCACGCAAGTCCAAAGACTTGTGAACTTGTGTGGCATTATATGTAAAACTCTTGGCTATATAAGCCATGCTACCGGAGCAATATACATAATCAATTTCTCCATCTTCTCTTACTCCTTTATAAAACTTTCTATCGGTAAAACTTTAACACGTTATCAGCACCAGTTTTCAGTCAGGTATATTTATACCTACTTATAAAAATTTATAACAAAATAATACTATCTACTTCCAACTGTTTCGAGGAGTATGCTCTATAGTTTCCCATATTTGGGATCCTCTATAACAGAAACTCAAACATTTACTATATATACCTCAAAAAAAAAAACAACGGTGAAAGTTCTCTTACTTGTGAATTTACTACTATCATCTTTTGTTTATTCATGTTGATGTTTCTTTGTTTGATCCATGTTGATATTAAATACTCATTTTACGTAAATTTTATCTTAGTTATTATAATTGCTAAGTAGTAGCTTTGCATGCATATTATTATTAACTAGATTAAGAAAAAGATGCAGCCTTTTTATACTTATTATTTTTCTTACTTTTACATACTTTTTTGTGTTTCTTTCCGTTTTCGAACCCATGATCTTTTATAGATATTAGGGCTCTCGGACCACTATGGCTTGCATTCCCAGTGTGATAACCTTTTACAATTATAAATATATATATATATATATATATATATATATATATATATATATATATATATATATATATATATATATATATGGACCATAATTTTATGCCAGTACGTTAGACTATTATATGATATTTTTACAGTTGTACAGAACAGTAACGGATAAACCTACCTCTATAAAAGACGGATTTTTCCCCCAATTTCACCACAAATCCTTTATCTCTTCCCACTTTTTATCCAAAAATCACCTAAAAAAAAAAAATTCACCCCCTTCTTCTCCGATATGTTCCCCGACGACGGCAACCAAAACACCCACAACTTCACTTTTGAAGAAGATTTAAGGAAGATAAAACAATATTTCCTTCTAATTACGGCACTTGTAGTTCTATTAGTAGCAATATTAATTTTTGTCATTATGTATAAGTAAAACTCACTTATTTTGTCGTTTTAGTATATTAAAAGCTTGTTTTTGTTTTATTATGTTGTTTGTTGTTATTAATCATCATTGTATAATATTACCGTTATCATTATAATTATTGTTACTACTGTCATTGTTGTCGTTTTGCTGTTTTTTTTGCAACTAACATGATTAATTTTTGTCTAATCATATAATTACTCACAATAATAAACCAAGGGGGAGAAAAGACTATATTATTTATGGTTTATTATTATTAAATTTAATTATCACGTGTCTTATTAACTTAATTATAAATATGGAAGAACTAAACATGTGAGTTGTACATATAATTTGTTATTATAATCTAATTATCACGAAATTTGTTGTAGCTAAAATGGGAGACCTTATGAAAAGACAGTTCAGCATCTTAGATTTATCTGGAAATAAATTTCTGGAATGGAAAGTGGATGCAATGATGAATTTGAAAGCTCAAGGTTTGGAGCACACTGTTAAAGAAAATAAAAGTCTCTCTGGTCAAACAACTGATGCTACCTCTTCTGCAATGACGGTTGAAAAACCTATCACTGAACAAGATAAGGCAAAAGCCTTAGTGTTGTTAAGGCATCATTTACATGAAGGCCTTAAAACTGAGTACATGATGGTTGAAAATCCCAAAGAATTATGGGATTGCCTTAATGAAAGATTTGGACACCACAAAAGGGTGCTCCTGCCTAAGGCATTATTTGATTGGACAAATTTACGGTTCCAGGATTTCAAATCTGTAATTGATTATAATTCAACCATACATGAGATAGTGTCTATATTGAGATACTGTGATCATCCGGTTATAGATGAACAGATGATTGAAAAAACACTCACTACCTTTCATGCAAGTAACATATCGTGAAAGAGGTTTTAAAAAGTTCAATGAATTAATGAGTATATTGCTTGTTGCGGAACAAAATAGTGAACTTTTGTTGAAAAATCATAACCTGAGACCAACTGGGTCTTTGGCCACTCATCATGAGGCAAATGCAACAAATTCCTATCCACCCGAGTCAAATGCTACAAGAAGAGGTGGACGTGGAAATTACAATGGCCGTGGAAGAGGCCGTGGAAATTATCGCGGACGCGGCCGTGGTCGTGGTAGAAATAATTTTCAAAGAAACAGTAATTTCAAAAATTTTGAAAAACAGAAGGGACAATCATCTGGAAGCCACAAACAAACTCCTTCGAAAGGAAAAGACACATGTTACAGATGTGGCATGACAGGACATTGGGGACGTACTTGTCGAACGGCCAAACATTTTGTAGACCTTTACCAGGCTTCTGTATAAGGCAAAGAGAAAAATGCAGAAGCAAATTATGTTAATGAGGAAAATGCTCCTTGTCCCAGCCTTGATGTGTCTGATTATTTCATGGATAATGCTGAAATTGGAAATGATTTCATTCTTGGAGAAAACAACAATACTTAGGTTTCTCATCTACTAATGTAACATATGCTATGTTTTAATGTATTTTCTTAGTTCCCTGTATTTTAAATTTCTATTCATGTACTTTAAATCTCTATCATCAATAAAAGTTTGTATGATATTATTCTAAACTAATCTCAAATTTATTTTATGAAGATATGGATATACCTGAAGTTAGTTCCAAATATCAATGCCTTTTGGACAGTGGAACAACACATACTATCTTAAAAGATAGAAAATATTTTTCACAACTAAAGTTGTTTCAAGCAAATGTAAACACCATTTCCGGGTCAGCTAAATTAATTGAAGGATCTGGAAAGGCTTGTATAATGCTTCCAAATGGAACAAAATTAATAATCAATAATGCTTTATATTCGAGTAAATCTCGAAGAAATCTCATAAGCTTTAAAGATGTACGCCAAAATGGCTATCATCTAGAAACAATGACAACAGATCAAAAAGAGTATATATGCCTCACGGTAGAAAAACATGGCAAGAAACATATATATGAGAAATTGCCAGCATACTCTTCGGGGTTATATCGTATAAACATACGACCCGTGGAAATCAATATGGTATCTAACCAGAAGTTAGATGACAAACATTTGATTATTTTATGGCATGATCGTTTGGGACATCCAGCAACTGGGATGATGCAAAAATAATAGCACATTCAGTTGGACATTCAATAAGAAATGTCAAAATTCCCCGATCAGATGAATTAACATGCTCTGCATGTTCACTTGGCAAATTAATAATAAGGCCATCTATGAACAAAATTGCTACTGAATATCCAAAATTCTTGGAAAGAATTCTGGGAGACATATGTGGGCCAATTAATCCAGCATGTGGACCATTTCGATATTTCATGGTTTTAATTGATGCCTCTACACGATGGTCACATGTTAGTCTACTTTCAAGTAGAAATGTTGCCTTAGCAAAATTACTTGCCCAATCATCAAATTAAGAGCACAATTCCCAGATCATACAATAAAGAAAATAAGACTTGACAATGCTGGGGAATTTACATCCCAAACATTTAATGATTATTGTATGTCAATTGGAATTGATGTTGAACACCCAGTAGCTCATGTTCATACACAAAATGGTCTAGCTGAATCACTAATTAAGAGATTACAATTGATTGCAAGACCATTATTAATGAGGTCAAGATTGCCATCATCTGCTTGGGGACATGCTATAATACATGCAGCAGCGCTAATTAGATTGAGACCTACAGCTTATCATAAATTCTCACCACTACAACTTGTTTGTGGTCGAGAACCAAGTATCTCACATCTAAAAATCTTTGGTTGTGCTGTATATGTTCCCATTGCTCCACCCCAACGAACAAAAATGGGTCCACAAAGAAGGCTGGGAATTTATGTCGGGTTTGAATCCCCTTCTATAATTAAATACCTTGAACCATTGACTGGTGACTTATTTACGGCTAGATTTGCGGACTGTCACTTTAATGAAACAGTATTCCCAGCCTTAGGGGAAAAGAAAGTGGACCCACATAAAAAAGAAATTGAACTCATTTGGAATGCAACACAACTGTTGATGTTAGACCCACGAACAAATATGTGTGAACAAGAAGTTAAGAAAATTGTTCATTTACAAAGTGTTGCAAATCAATTGCCTGATGCATTTGTAGACACAAATAAGGTGACAAAATCACCATATACCAGCAGAAAATGCCCCTGCACGTATTGAAATCCCAACTGGTAATAAGGCCATAGAAAATGAATCTCAGGCACGCAGAAAGCGTGGAAGACCACTTGGTTCAAAAGATTCTAAGCCAAGAAAATTGAAAAGATAGGATGGAATAGAAAATGAGACTAATGATGTTCCCCCGTCAGAAGGTCAAGAAAAACCAAATGTGGATGAAAGTAAAGAAAATGATGATAATCCAAAAGGGGACGAACAAGAAGACAACCCTACGGGGAATGAACAAGATGTTCAAAACATCGATAACAATGAAATTTCAATGAATTACGTCTCTACAAAGACTCAGTGGAATAGGAAAGATGTTATCGTTAATGAAACATTTGCAAATTCCATTGCAATCGACATCGTGTCTGATGAAAATGATGTTGAACCAAGAACTGTAGAAGAATGTCGACGTAGGAGTGATTGGCCAAAGTGGAAGGAGGCAATGCTGGCTGAGTTAAAGTCACTTGAAAAACGAGAAGTTTTGGGGAAAATAACCCTTACACCAGCAGGTGTAAAACCCGTTGGATACAAATGGGTATTTGTAAGAAAACGTAATGAGAAAAATGAAATAGTTAGATACAAGGCAAGACTTGTAGCCCAAGGATTTTCTCAAATTCCAGGGATTGATTATGAAGAAACATATTCTCCAGTGGTTGATGCAACTACATTAAGATTTCTGGTAAGTTTGACAGTCACAAAAGGACTGCAAATGCGATTAATGGATGTAGTGACTGCGTATTTGTATGGGTCACTCGATACGGACATTTACATGAAAGTCCCCGAAGGACTAAAACTACCAGAAAACCACAAGCCTAGACAACTGCTTTCCATAAAACTAAAAAGGTCACTTTATGGATTGAAACAATCTGGAAGGATGTGGTACAACCGTCTGAGTGAATACCTTATGAGAGAAGGATTCAAAAACAACCAAGTTAGTCCCTGTGTTTTCATAAAGCGATCACAATCAGGATTCGCTATCATTGCAGTTTATGTTGATGATTTAAATATCATCGGAACCCCAAATGAACTCGAGAAAACTGCAAAATACTTGATGAAAGAATTTGAGATGAAAGACCTTGGGAAAACTAAATTTTGCCTTGGACTACAAATTGAGCACTTAAGTCATGGCATTTTTGTCCATCAATCAAACTATACAGAAAGAGTTTTGAAACGTTTCTTCATGGACAAAGCAACCCCAACCAACTTCCCAATGGTTGTTCGTTCTTTGAATATGAAAAATGATCCATTCACACCCCGAGAAGAAAATGAAGAGATTCTGGGTCCAGAAGTACCATACTTAAGTGCAATTGGAGCCTTAATGTACTTAGCTAACAATACTAGACCCGACATAGCTTTCTCTGTGAATTTGTTAGCCAGGCACAACAATGCACCAACATATAGGCATTGGAAGGGAGTTCGACACTTACTCCGGTACCTACGAGGGACACAAGACCTTGGTTTATATTACCAACCAAAACAAGATGCTGCTCTCATTGGGTATGCAGACGCTGGATACTTATCAGATCCTCAAAATGCCAAGTCACAAAATGGATATGTATTCACTTATGGCGGCACTGCAATATCATGGAAATCAAACAAAGCAGACATTGACCGCGACATCATCAAATCATGCAGATTTGATAGCCCTCTATGAAGCAGGACGGGAATGTGTGTGGCTGAGGTCGATGATCAGTAATATCCAAAAGGAGTGTGGAATGAACGCAATAACAGAAGACCCAACCATCATCTTTGAAGACAATACAGCATGTATCGCTCAAGTAACTGAAGGATATATTAAGGGAGATAAAACGAAACATATTGCCCCAAAACTGTTCTTCACACATGATCTGCAAAAGGACGAGGAAATAAATATCCAGCAAATTCAGTCTTGTGAAATCTTGCCGACCTTTTCACCAAATCACTTCCTTCGAAGAAATTTGAACAGTTAGTTCACAAAATCGGAATGCGACATCTTCGTGAACTATGCTGAGATCAGGGGGAGTATTATATGTACTGCACTCTTTTTCCCTTCGATCAGGTTTTTATCCCACCGGGTTTTTCCTGACAAGGTTTTTAACGAGGCAGTATACCAAAGCATATAATACTATATCGTTGTACTCTTTTTCCCTAGCTATGGTATTTACCCCATAAGGGTTTTACCTAGGAAGGTTTTTAATGAGGCAACAAATACCAATCTGTATAATAAGTATGGGCATTCAAGGGGGAGTGTTAGAAGATAAATATGAATGCCTATAATTATTTGATTTGATTTCACAATGTTCACACAAGTCCAAAGACTTGTGAACTTGTGTGGCATTATATGTAAAACTCTTGGCTATATAAGCCATGTTACCGGAGCAATATACATAATCAATTTCTCCATCTTCTTTTACTCCTTTATAAAACTTTCTATCGGTAAAACTTTAACATGTAAAAAATTTTAATATTGTTTCCGATTTTTAATTTATTCGTCTGCATTCACAAATGAATTCCCTTATTTTTATTTTTATATTTTTTTAATCTAAAACCAAATGACTTCCCTTCTTTCTGTAAAAGTTTTATTAACAGTCAACTTGAGGAAATAAAAAACTAACCCAGTTTAACAACCCCCCAAATGATCCGTGCTCTTGCTGTATTTTCCCCTTCTTTCTCTCTCATTTTCCATTGAAGCGCACCTATAGTTCTCCATTGAAGCAGTTTCTAAGGTAAAATTTTAATTTCTCTTTTTCATTATCCAGTTTTAATTTCTCTAGAGTTTTATATATCCTAAATTTAATTCACCTTACACACAAATTGAGGGTTCTCCTAAGCTCCACGACATCCTCCATTTCTCGGCTTTCGATTCATCATCCTCCACCGTCGTCTACAAATTCTGGATTCAATTTGTGCGATTTATAAGGTAGAATTCGTTGAACTTTCCTCAAGAACGAAAATATTCAGCCTTAATTCTGAAAATTCGAAAAATTCTAGACTAAAATTTGAGCCAATTTAAACGATTTTTCATGCAATAATTCAAGCTACAGCAAATTCGAATCAATTTCGAATCAAAAATCAGAAATTTGAGGTTAGGGTTTATGGGTTATTTAGCTTTGCATTATTTTTTGCCTTTTTGGTCCAATTATTCATGTTAAATGCTTTGATTTCTTGGGTTTAATTTGATTTGATTTCACTGTAATGCTTATTTGATATCAAATTAGTTCCACTATTTGCAATTAAACTTACAATTCTTTTTTAAGGGCAAAATTCCCTGTTTTTTCTTCTTAAATTGGGTTATTTTATTAGGTACTTGCTCAATTCTTATCTACTGGATTAATGTATACAATTCTAAGCAATTTTGTCTTCTTTTTTTTTTTAATTTATTTATTTATTTTTATACTTTTTTATCTCTGTGATTTTTTTTTTATTTATTCAAATTATCTAAGTTTCCTGAATTTGGTTGATGGATGTTTGTTATGTATACCTGCATATTGAATATAAATTATGGTCATTTGTGATATAAGTGGTTGTTGATGAGCAATTATTGTTGAAAACTAGAAATCATGCCTTTACATTGTACACTTTATGAGTTTGTGACATTAGTTTGATTGTAATGTATTCTGAAACAATATGTAAAAAGCTAGTTTGATACCTTAGTTTGATTATTATTATGTATTTGAAACCAAAATAAATTGTGGGTGAAGGATGAATATTGAGAGTCACTGTGATCCTTGCCAATGCAAGATTGAAGATTCGAGCTTTTAGTAAAACCAACTCCTTTTAACGAAACTGTTTGATGAGGAACATGTTAATTGAAAGGGGATGTGATCTTATGAGTACTACTAATAAGATAAGGAACTTAATTTTGTTGCTATAAAATTATGAGCTTAATTTGATGTTTGAATAAATTTAGTGGATGCAACTATGTAATTGGGGCTTTTGTTCTCAAAAATTATGAGCCTAGTTTGATAGTTATATCAAATTTTATTGCTAATATGTTTCAGAACCCTTTAAAGTTAAGATCTGGGTACAGGGTGAGTAATGCCCCTTCTGCCCTTTTGAAAAGTTGTTTAACTTGCATTAACTGGGGTATTGTTTGTGTTGTTAGTATACTAGCCATCTTAAAGTTGTAGTTGGGTAATGATGTGTCTAACTGTCAAATCTGAATCATGGTTCGTTGATGTGGATGTCCTATGGGTGTATTTCTGGCAGTATGACTGATTAATATGTATAATACTTTAATAGTTGTAAGCATATGTTAGTCAAGAACTCTGTTAGTACCTCAGTCCAATGTATATGTGATGGTTATGTGCATATTACTTCTGGTGTTAAGTTTTCATACCGTAATAGTACCAAGTATCTGACGGCAACTATTGTAAACAAGTTTATGGCCACTTAGGCCTCTAATATATCTCTTCGTAGTGTGTTAAATATAAAAGGGATTTGTAATAGCCACTGTGACTCCACAACACCTTGTTCATAATAGGAACTCTCTCTTCCAATGAGTAGGGCTGGCAAAAACTGACCCGACCCGAAAACCCGATCCGAACCCGATCCGAAAAAAGCGGGTTAGGGTTGAGATTTTTGACCCGAAAACTTAAATGGGTCGACACGAACCCGAACCCGAAATTAAATGGGTCAGGTTAAGGTTGAAAATCTCAACCCGAAAACGACCCACTTAAACCGAAATAAATTTTAGGTCATAATCAGGTCGGGTCAACCCGAACCCGACCTGATAACCCGAATTAGTTTAAGTTTTAAAAAAAAAAACGTAAAAAGCTTTTATTAGCCCAGCCCAAATGCACAAAGAGGCTTCCTATATAAATTCAAAACCCTAAAATAATCTCATTTCCCCTCACCTCTTCAGCTGTTTTTCCCCTCACTTCTCTCTCTTTAATTTTCTCTCTCCTTAAAAACTCATTATATTGTTGAATTTTCTCTTTAATTTCCTTCAGCCGTTTACCATTGTCAATTTGTCATCTCCTTCACGGCTTGACTCCTTCACTCCTCCACAAGACGCGTTCCTTAATTCTTCTCCTTCATCAATCAAGGTATCTTGCTTCTTAATTTATTTTCTGTTTCTTTTTTCGTGTTTTTACATGCTATTTTTGTTTATTTTCGTATTCTTTTGTTGTTAATTTTATAATTACCTGCTTTCGTTTATTTTGTTTTTTTACATGCTAATTTTCGAGTGTTATTACTAATTTATGATGTTAAATGTTGTTGTTTATGTTATAATACGGTTGTTTTTGCTAATTTTCGAATGTAATGCTAATTTTTATTGTTAAATGTTGTTTATGTAATGGTGATTCTTGTTATTTTTTGTTTTTCATGAGAATGCATGTTTTAATTTAGATCTTACTAGTTAGATCTAGACAATCTAGTCTGATTTAGATTATTATCATGTTTTAATTATATTAGTGTTGTTTTTCTTTATAGGTTTGGCAGCAAGAAGTAATCACCCATGTTCAATTGGAAATGTTGTGGATCAATTTTAAAGCTTGAGGTGGTGAACAAGGATGACAACCATGATAGATTGACAGTCTCAACATCGCCCGATCTTAATCCAAATGAAAATCTTATTGCATCTTCTATTATTTTATAGAACTGTAATTTGTGTTAAAAAAAACTTTTGTCTTTTGAAACTTGGTTTGTAATTAGTGAATTGCACTTTTTATCGGTTTATAATCGTTAATTAGGATTGTTACTTTGTTAGACTATGCCATTTAATTTTGGTTTGAATTAAAACGCTTAACCTCTGAACAACTTGTGTTTGAAATGAAAAAAAAGTTAATTCAGGTCAATTTTGGGTTAACCCGAACCTGAATATATCAGGTTTGGGTCGGGTCAAGTTCAGGTCAAAGAAACCTGATTTTAATCCAAATAAAAAATCAGGTCAAGTAAGGTCAATTTCGGGTTGACCCGAACCTGAAAATATCAGGTTCAGGTTGGGGTTTTCAACCCGAAAAGTTAAATGGATCAGGTTCGGGTTGGGGGGTAGCTGACCCGAAATTAGGTGACCCGAACACGAACCCGACCCGACCTGATCTGTTTGCCAGCCCTACTAATGAGCCACATAACTACTATGTGCTTTCAAATCAGTATTGAATCAAAATATTAAAAAAAAACTTCTTTTTTTGGGGTGAGATTTTAGATAGGGTGTGTAGTTTTCTAAGACTAATCAGGTGAAGAAAATCCATGACGTTTCTCTGATGTGTCTTTAACATGAATTCATGTCTTTTTCTCTATCTCTGCGTGGTCTGGTTATACCTTTTGGTTGTACATGCTGGACAGACACTTGTTTCAGTTGTAAGTAGTGCGAGTAAAAAGTATTTTCTTGGGACTCGCAGTGCTCCTCATGAGAGGTGGAAGAAAGAATGTTGTGGATATGCTAGAATCGTTGCTAAAATTGGGCGCTGCTGCTCTCTGTTGGAACACACTGCTACTAATTCTGCTTTGCTGATTGTTGCTGCTCCAATTTAGTGTATTCTAATTAATTAATTAATCAATTAATTATTCTTTTTCAATTTTTGTTTGGATGAACATTGAAAATTAACAAGTTATTAATGAAAATATCTAAGTTTAATGCGTATATATGCACTATGTTTGTTGATCAATTTGGGTGAAAAAAAAATTCAAATTTGTTGCCTTTAAACCATTTAGACACGATAATATTAATAGCACCAGATTTTATTAGCCAAGGTAGTATTTAGGTAAACAAGTAAATTAGCCACGGTAACATTTGTGGCAACAACGTTTATTAGCCACGGTAAAATTTGTGGCAAATAATTTGTTAGCCACGTTAATATTTATGGCAAGTGAATTTGTTTGCCATGTGAATACCCGTGGCATAAAAATTAGAATTTGCCACGACATTCATATTCCCGTGGCAAATTCCTAGCCACGGCCTCTTGTGCCACGGGAGTAAAATTCAAAATTCCCGTGGCTAATTTTCATAGCCACGAGAATTTTAAACTTGGGAATTTTAAACTTGTGCCACGATTTTACTTGTGGCACAAAGGTCAATTTGTTATAGTTAAGTCCTATCCCTCGGTGTTAAAAACACCTTAAGTGCACAAAGGCACCAACATACAATTTATTTCTCATGTACATAGACACTTATATAGCTCATTTCTTATGCTTAAAGCATCAATAAAAATTATATGAACCATAATAAAATTCCTTTTCAATAATCCAAGCCAAATTAAACATGTAGTTTTTTTTTTTTTTTTTTTTTTTTGTGTGGAAAGAAACGGGGTTGTGGCATTTTATTAATATAGCAAAAATTACATAACATCATTCTCCGCCAAGGCTAACAAACCTTGCAGAATAGAGTCCATAAAAATCTGATCAACACCATTACTAGCCTCTAATCTAGCTGCTAAATGTGCCACATTATTCCCACATATCTTGACATGATAGCAATCGAAAGCATCAAAGTTGTTGCCAACTTCACGAACATCTTCAATTATAAGGTCGAGAGGAGCTCTTCCACCTGTTGCCTGCTTGATCAACTTAACCACTCCACTAGCATCACACTCAAGTTCAATTTTGTGATATCCCAGTGTCTTTGCCATGTTAACCCCAAATCTTACTTCCATTGCTTCCCCTTCTGTAGGGAATAATTTCAAGCCTTTAAATCCCACTAGCTTGAACCCCACTGTGATCATACACTAAAGTACGGTGGCGTCCAAAAGGGAAGAAGATAGAGTAGAAGAGTCGCCAACAAGTTTTTAAGGAACTTGTAAACCGTTCACGAGGTGAAGGTTACACCCCTTAACGATCCAAGAGATCGTCAACTCCATAAGGTCATGAACCAAATAAGGGTTCGGGGATGAAGGTACAAATCCAACCTAAAAGAGATTGAACCGGCCCTAATAATAGGCCTCTACTTTATTCTGATCGTATTCATGTGCGCTTTCTGATTAACATACAATCAATAGGATTAACCCTAAACCTGTTTAATCTATGTTGGTTGAATATTAATGCACAAATAAACTATTATTGGCGATCACTTGAATTATAATCAAATTAACCCTAACAAGATTATTAATTATCTTATTAAGCGTGATTACAAGTACCAAATTCCCTTTAAACATGCATAAAAGTGATCAAGCAATAAAGAATAAATAATGTATCAAGCAACATAATCAATAATAATCATGAATAAAATAATCATCATCAAAATAATAATAATAATAATAATAATAATAATAATAATAATAATATTCATAATCATCATAAATTATAACAATTATAATCACAATCATGTTCATGTTAATATTAAAGCATAATAAAAATAGCAAGATTCTAGGCATGATACTAACAAGATTAATAACAAACCCTAGCATGTCACTAAGCGATAAAAATCAAATCTTTAGCCCTAACATGATACTAACATGAATAAATATTAGGAAGAGAATAAAAGGCATCATAGCAATCATATTTAATATTAAAAATACCCTAGACATGATACTAGGAATATCATAATAACAATATAAACATGATATCTACATCATAATATCAATCAAAACCATTAAAGTACTTACTTTGATGCCTCGTACCTCTTTCTAATAACAAAATACACACGTTAGTAACTTCAAGGAAAAAATAACAAAACAATTAAATTAAATAATTGAAAGAGAGATTTGGGACCAAACCCTCAGAAATTAAAACCTTTCACGTCTAGGGCGAAGGTAACTTCGAATATGGCTAGGTGTTTCTAAATCTTGTGAATGCGGAATTTTGTATGAAAAAGCAAGAAAGAAAAGAATGCTAAAGAATACTTGAGAATGAGAGAATTGGTGAATTAGTAGATGTAGATGATGAATGAAAACGGAGTTTTTGATACGATATTTATAGACAAAATCAGCCAAAAAAGATAATTTAACAAAACAGAGTCTGAAGATCGCAAAACAGGATTGGCGCCAACCCTGCCTAGCTGGCGCCAGGCACCAGTGGCTAGCGCCAGGCGCCAATGGCTAGCGCCTGGCGCCAAGCCTGGTTCCAGGCGCCAAGGCCTGGGGTTGGACGCCAAACAGGATTTCAACGCGTTTTCGAAAATCTGATAAATTTCCCGTACTGGAAGATAAAATAATATAATTCCTTCGAAAATGCTATTTGATCTTGATTAAAACTCTGAAAAGTCAACAAAGTCAACTTATCAATGCTAATTGAATTAGGAATGAAAAGAACCTTCTAGAAGATTCTAGAAGACTAAAACCATTCCTAATTGCATTAGGAATGATAAATCACATTAGGCCCTCCCCTAGATCATTGGGCCGTACATAAAGCTCAAACCGGGCCCAGTTTAGTAAATTGGCCATAATTTCCTCAATATTCATCGGAATTGGGCTTATAATATATCGTTGGAAAGGTCTTTGCAAGCCCTATCCAACAACACCACTATTGGACCCATATCATGAACCAACCAAACTGGATTGACTGTTTTCTTAAAATAAAGTTTTCCAAAACAGGGAGAAGAGAAAAGAAATAAAACTTTCCGCAACACTAGACCTTTCCACACTTTCGTTTCATTCGATTATGATTCGACGTGAAAGGCACTCATCACCGGGTTTGGTTTTGGGGAGACACAAATGGGTGTCTACACCTTCCTTCACCGAAAAACCACCAGCAACACGGTGTACACCTGCTGCCATGATCTTCCCCTCATCATTACGCATCACAACACCCAGCCCAATCATAGATTCCGATAAGACAGCCAAATCCGTGTTAACCCGCATCCATCCAGCACTTGGTTTTTGCCAGGAGCTATAGGAACCCACCTCTCTACACACACTCAAACCCCCTGTAGCAGCATTGTACATTTTATAATCTTCCACCGGCTTAACATAGCCCATAGTACTCACCACACAACAGCTCCAAGGTTGATCAAACACAACAGAATTTCTATATGCCCACGCAATTGCTGCAAATTTGCACAAATCATTCTTGTCTATCTTCGATTTCATCCATAAGAGAAGCTCAGCAAAGGATGTAAGTGGTACATGCTTGAAAATTTCAGAGAAGGACGAGCAACTCCAGATTTGTTCGACATTGGGACATCCAATAATTGCGTGGCATATGGTTTCGGGGGCAGCATTGCATAAAGAGCATCTATTATCATCACGGATATGCCTGCTGTACAATCTCTCTAGAGTAGCCAAGGAGCCAGAACAGGCTCTCTAAAGGAACTGACGCAGCTTTGGGGGGCCTTCCATGTTCCACACCGTCTTCCAAACCTCCTCACCCTTCCCACCAAACTGTTCCTCCTAACCTCGAACATTGCCTAAGCGTCCTAACCAATACCCTGATTTTGTGTGTAGATACCATCTTCTGTAGGCCACCAGTATTGGATATCTTTCGGGCATCTGGAGCTAAGGGGAATCCCACCAATCCAGTTAGCATCCCCCTCGAATAATTGCAGACGGAACTTATCCCAGTCCCACTCCCCCTATTGATGTGCCTTAAATCCGATACCCTCATATATAGACCCCGTACACTCCAAATTAGGAGTAGGAACAGCCATAGAGTAGCTTCCCGGTAGCCACACATCATCCCAAACGTTGATACTCTCACCATTACCCACCCTCCATTTCAAGCCCTCGAGAAGAAGAGATTTTACTCCCCAAACGCCTCCAAACATAGCTTGGATCGTGGCCTCTCAGAGAAGAAGCAAAATCACTATTTTTAAGATACTGAGCTTTC